ACACACACACACACACACACACACACACACACCCCCATCTGACATAGTCCCTCCCATGTGTCAGTCACAGCCTCACAGGGGAGACTGAGCCTTACAGATGTTAAGTTAAGTGGCTCCAAAAAACAAACAAGAGGGTGATATACTGCAAGATCAACCTGAGCGCGTCCCTTAATGCCTCATGAGGGATTGCATGCTTGTCCCCCGGTTTGCGTGCACACAGGCGCTCATGCATCGATCCATCCATCTCACGCTGATGCATGTGTTGACTCTGGGAGTTGGTATTTCCCTCTGTCAGAACTCCATGTATTACCTATTAGTTACCTCAGCTCCTGGATGCCAACCAAAACAATCTGCAGGTCTCTGTGTCAATATATCGAGGTCATCTCATGGAGATGTTCAGCTCAGGGAAGAGTTAGGACACTATTTAGTCAAGAGAATGGTTGTAATCCACCAGGAGCCATGGAAGAGCAGGAGGAACATCTACACCCAGACTTGAAGAGTGGTCAGCTGGAGACACGAGGACAAGAGCTGAATACTGAATGTAGCCCTGCTGCATATTCATGGAGGAATAATATAGTTTAAATTATGTTGTGCTGTAACATGCAACCTGTTGAGCTTGTTTGTGTTGTGACCTTATATACAGTCTATGGTTGTGACTCATTCTCACTAGAAACATGATGGAAGTTTAATCTTAAATCGACAAACATTAAATTAAACGAACTTCACCATGTGTGTAGTTTGTTTTCTTTTGATGAGTCACCAGTTCAAAATGACCAAAGCATGTTTCATTCATTCCCAGAAATGTAAGTCTGTAGGGAGATAATGTAAAAGTGTGTGTGTGTGTGCGTGCTCATATTAAAGGATATATAATTGGTCTGTTGTGTATTTTTGACTGTCTTTACTCACTTCCTCTTTTAGGTACAAAACCTCAACAACATAATGGCTTTTCCTTTGGAAAACGTTCTGAAGTCTGAGCTCCGCGACAGCAGACTGGTGAGTCTGAGATGTTGTTAATGATAAATTAAACTGGTGCCGACTGAGCTGATTTTTAATTCCTTGTTTTAACACGGAGAGATGATTCCTGATTATCCCATACTTTGCTGTTAATGTGAGAGAATAGGTGCATTTAATAATGGCACCTGTCGTTTAATAAGCTCCATCAAGCTTCACTAGTGCACAAGAGGCCGAGTTATTGCTGTGCCCGAGAATAAGTGTGTTAATTAAAAACTGCTGTAAGAAAATTATATTATATGAAATTATTTTCAAACCCTCCATGGAATAGAATTATTTTTTAAAATCTCAAAAATTTAAATATACAACAATTCAGATATGATAAGTCACTGATAATCTTTTTTAACCAGGCACTTGTTGATGTGATATGAGCCAACAAACAGAGCCCCGTGATGAGTGATTTGCAGCCGAGGGAGACGGATATCTGTGTTTATACGTTTTGGCTTTACTGTGCAAAATAAATCAAATATTGGATAATCTGGATTTCCTGTTGGAGCAGATAATGCCCTGTGTCTGTGCTGCAGACGCTGTGTCTACTAAGATGTTACAGTGAATAAGATAAGGCTGTTTATGCAGATTAATGAGTAAGACAGAGCTACACTCCCTGCACTGAACCAGTCGGTCTCGGGCAGCGCTCTTATTTTTTGATTTGCCAATGCAGCCGACAGACGCGTGAGTAATAACAGGCGAATGCTTCTGTAAGTTTCCGTCTGAGTTTTCAAACAGCTGATTCCACAGCTGAAGAATAGACTCACTGCTTGAAGGACGGCACCGCGCTCCTGAAATCCTGTTGGGTCAGATTGACTAGTTAGCTTCATGTGAGTAATCGTTTGTCTGTGGATCAACTGTCTAGATCTACACCTCGGATTATCCCCAGTAATTCCACTCAGTCAAATATTGCCTCACCTCTGCGTGTACCGGGGGCATAATTTACAGGGGGAAGGAGGGATAAAAACCGCCCTTTCCGTTTCACACTGTTTTATTGATCATTTCAACACCATTCTATGGCTATAGGAACATATACAGTGAAATATACAGTGACAGCACTCTTTTTCTCCTCTTCTGCAGGAGCTCAAGAAACAGATGGAGAAGAGCTGGAAGGAGTACGACATAAAGATGTAATTACCTTTACTCGTTGGCTGCGGACAGTGTCTGATTACAGTCTCATTCTTCATCTTCAAGCCTCTTCGCTTTCACGAGAGAAGAGAAACTGAAGCCCGACGTAGATCTCATTTCCTGAGGAGAATCATGTCACTCTTTTATATCTGTAGTTCTTTCTAGTTGCGGGTTATAGAGGTTAATGCAACAGCAGTAGTAAATGTGATAAAACAGTTCATTCCACCCATAGTCATTCTCCATTACATTTTTCTATGATGGTTTAAATTGTTTTATAATGTTGTTAAGAGGTTTTACATCTCCATAATCCTCTTTCATCCATTTCCCAATATCTCTCTCACTGGCTGCTTTTAGAAATGCACTGAAGTCCGTACATTTTCCAGAGGTGCTGTATGGGAGAACGAAATGTCAGAGTCAGTGGCTCCAGACATTTTCTGGAACTTTTCCTCCCGGGTAAAATGTCCAGAAAATGTCAATTAGAAAAAACAAGATTCAAGAGCTGTCAATGTGCCGCAAATTTCCACGGCTCCATTTATACGTCACATCCAGCCTCCTACATGCACTACATGTGCACCCGCCCACCTGAATGTTCCAGACATCTTCCTGTTGTGAACATATATGTCCCGGATAATCTGTGTTATTCACATATGAAAGAGAAACTCCTAAAAATATCCAGACCCAGTTTTTGGTAGATCATGTCTGAAAACGGCTCATAAGGAAAGCAGCTCAGTTTGTGAAGGAAAGAAGCAACATAAAATGTTCAAGTAGTTAATCATTACAGAGAGAGAATTGATTTAACTGTCCATTAAGAACTGGGACTCACACTGTGGTTATAAATGATACAGGGATAACATTCTTTCCTGCTTTCCCTCACACTAACAGAGGGAAGTTGGAGAAGGAGCGGAAGGAGAAGACCAGGCAGCTGGGGCTGATCAGGACAGAGGGATCAGACGGCGGGGAAGACATGGAGAGAGAGAGGAGGTCCTTTCAGCTGCAAATGTGTGAGGTGGGGGGATGCGTGCCAGTCAAAACACCAGACACAGACACCTTTCACATACCTGAGGCGGGCTTGATTTAGCACACACGGGTGGTCTGCCTCATGGATTCCATATTCCATGCATGGTCAACTGGATGGCCGGGGTTGATCCCTTGTCTGTGCCTCTTCAGTAAGAAAATATGCTTCAGAAAGTCAAACAACAGCTTTAGTTGGTGGAGTTGCAGTAGAGCCGCGTCATAAACATTAGAGGCTGCAGCTCAAAGGCAGATTAAACAGCTTTATGGCCCACACCTAAAAGCCAAATTGGGGGGAATTATTGTGAAATGTACCGATGGTGCTTTTACTTACAGGTGGTGTGGTCCCAGCTTCTAGTGCACATGTAGCAGGAGAAAACCCTGAGAGAAAAAAAGGTCTAAATCTGACTGAGACCAGCTGTTGAGACAAAGAGGAGAAGCAGGGAAAATGGAATTTCCACTTGTTGCAGCCTCTCCACCGCCCTCCGTCTCTCTGTCTGTTCTTCTTCCCCCTCCATACAGACAAAGAGTCTTAAAAACCCTGTAGTTTAATGTTTATGCCCTTTAAAACATTAATGTGAACCAAGAATAGTCTGATAATATATGTAATAAAGCCTAAACTAAAATAGTGTTTTTAACTAAGACTCTTTTATTCAGTTTCTTACAAGGTTCAGTGACCGCCTGTGGTGTTGAGATAAAGTGTGTAGACAATGTGGAGGAGTGTCCTAGAAAAACAAGCTGACACAAACTTTGAAAATGTGTATTTCAGACCATTCTTTGTTGACCTTGACCTTTCATAGATTCATTACAAAAGGTATATCATCTGGAGACACTGACACAGACGGTGAAAATCTAGGATGAGCCTTAAATGATGTGCACATTTTCATATTCAGACGTCATGTTTCTTAGGACTTGTTCTGTTTCTGGAGCTGTTTTTTCACTCTCTGTGTTTCTGCTTCTAGTATCTTCTGAAGATCCAGGAGCTGAAGGTGCGTCAGGGACCTGATCTGCTCCAGAGCCTCGTCAAATATTTCCAGGCGCAGCTCAGGTTTGTCTCTGCGCTGCTCCGCCTTTTTGGGGCTTGCCCATTTTGTTTCTAGGTGTTAAATAAGAACACAATTATTTTGTTCTCCTTTGAACTAAAAAGCAGTTGGATTTGATTTCTGCCCCAGGGTGCAGTGAGGGATTTTGAAAAGCAGCTGAGGTTCTTTGGTTTTTCTCTTCCTTCTGCAAGCTATTATTACTGGTGTTAACCATTTACCCATTTGAATCATACCCAAGGTTTTATGTGGGAACGGAGTTGCTTATACAGGTTTAGCATGTGATGTTTTGGTTGGTAGGAACTGGGATGTTTGGACTTTGGTACCATCATGACTCAGCATTCGCTCTTTTTTCTGATCTCAGTTTTTTTCAGGACGGGCTGAAAGCTGCCGAGAATCTCACTCCCTTTATCGAGAAGCTCGCCGCCTCTGTGCACACGGTAATCACAGAAACTGCAGCTGGTTTGTCTAAACCTGCATCACATCACTCTGTTTATAGGGGTTAAAAAAAGCATTTTGATGTTATCATACCCTGATACCACCCACACACATTGGTCATCCATTGCTCAGTGACAACATCAGGCAAAACTGTGTCCAAGGAGACACTTGCAGTAAAGCTCCGGCTGTAAATCACTTGGTGTTTTAGTACCTCCTGCAGTACTATTTCATTCATTCCCAACGACCAAAACTGCCCTCTGAAACTTTCCCCCCGGCTGAACCCACAGGCAGGAGATTGTTATTGGCGTTGATTCCCAGAATCGCTTCCCCTCATTTCCACAGATGAAACCGAAAGCATCCCTCATTTTCATTCTTTCCCCCGCTGCACACCTTTTTCTCCAACCACTCCGACTTGTTTCCAGGCTGCACAACGTTTGCCTTCTTCTCCCTTTTTTTTCTTCGGAGCACTGGAAACAGACTCTTAACTGTGGTGCTGGAACGTTAGAGGTTTTTCTGGTTCTTCAGGGGCAGAACGCGGATCCGCTCAGACATGCCAGACCTCAGCCTGGGTGTTCAGATTGAATCTGCGTTCTGGTTCCCAAGAAATGCTTTTATATTTTATTCAAATGAAGTTGTGCTGAATCTAAGACTATTCACTCTGCTTATTGAAATAAAAACACAACTTCTTGGGATGCACACACCCCAGAACCAAGCTCTGTTCTGTGTTATTCAAACCAACACAAAAAAGCTCTGATGTGTTGTTATTCCACACCCAACTCTGGGAACAAATCACAACAAAAACATTGCAAATGAGCTGAGAGAAAACAGACATCAGCTGTTCTTCCAAATAGTTCCATTTTATAATGTCCCTTGAATAAACTGACTGTCATGGTGTGTGTGTGTGTGTGTGTGTGTGTGTGTGTGTGTGTGTGTGTGTGTGTGTGTGTGTGTGTGTGTGTGTGTGTGTGTGTGAAATGTCGGGGACATTGTATCTGCTGTGGTGTATTACTGTATTAGCAATCGTATCTTCTGCAAATGAAGTTCATATNGTGTGTGTGTGTGTGTGTGTATTGTAGGTGCGTCTGGAACAGGACGAGGAAGTAAAACAACTGACTCAGTTGAGGGATTCTCTCAGATTACTTCTTCAAGTGGAGGGGAAAGAGGTAAACATCCTCATAATGTATCATTCTCATTACATGTAACCAAAAGTACCTTGAGCTGACTTTTCTACATCTGCACTCTAAAGCTGTTTTCAGATATGAACTCTCCAGACTTTGCTTGTCACATGTAAACAAAGCAGCAGGAGATTTTGTCGGTCAGACACGTTCACAACCGGAAAATCTCCAGGAGATTCAGGCGAGGGGCGTTGTTTGTTTGAATTCCACTGCGGAAATCACATAGCACATCAACACCAGCATCAGTTGTTATCGCCAAAAGCTTCTGAATCTTATCATCTTCATCTGCATCCTCTACGTGTATGGCTCCTCTTTTTCATCCTGAGATATTTGTGTTATTTTGCGTCTATCGCATGTTAGAAACTCCATCACTCACGTGCTGTAAATTCTTCTGAACTCTCACATGAAAATTTTCAGGAAAATATCTGGATTTCAGTGCATGTCTGAAAGCAGCTTGTGCTCTAAAACGCAGCATATCGTTTACTTGGTGTTTGATACGAGCTGATCACTCACGTTTCATATCGTTTTACATTTCACAAAGCGTTTGAAGTTAATTCCTGAATCCCTGTTTGTGTTGCAGGAATACCTGAACAGGAAGAACTCGGGCAATGGGTACAGCATCCACCAACCACAGGGCAACAAAACGTATGGGACGGAGAAATCGGGTTTTCTACTCAAGAAGAGTGATGGGTGTGTAAAAATATTTGCTTCTGCCTGCATCTCTGATTAGCTTTTAGGTTACAAGCATTGTGTTGTATATAATAAAATTATTAAATGCCAAAAACTCTTAAAAGCTTCTACAGAACCTGAGCTTTTTTAACTGTTCATCCATCCATCATCTATTCCACTTATCCCAGCTGACATTGGGTGAGAGATGGGGTAGATGGGGTACGCCCTGCACAAACAGCAACAAACAACCACTCTCATTCACACCTATGAGCGAATTTAGAATCTAACCCCAATCTGCATGTCTTTGGACTGTGGGAGGAAGTCGGAGTAGCTGGAGAAAACTAGCGCAGACACAGGGAGAACATGCAGAAAGACCCCTGTCAGGTTTTTTTTGTGGTTCAAATTACATTAAAGTAAATTTTTAAAGTGAAAAACACAGCTTATTAAAACTGTTGACTGCAGCTGCCATTACAGCTGAGGGGCAAGAAGTCGACAAATAAAGCACTGAGAGAGAAACACAGGGAGAACTCAAACTCTGTAGACCCCAGCTGGTCTTCATTATCGTGAGATGAAGATTCAGGCAGGGGCCCCTCATGTGGAACTTCTTGGCAGACTAGCTCAGTGAGCAGATCCAACTTTTGAGTCATGCACACACACACACACACACACACACACACACACACACAGATCTAGATTGCTATGATAAGGAGAGGGGATGTGGTTCAGTAGGGCGAATGTGAGACGGGAGTAAACTTTCCTCAGGCCACCGACACAAAACGGAAGGTTCTCAGCCATTTTGCCTGATTCAATCAAGATAATGAAGATTGAAACACTGTGAACAAGAGTAAGCTGAGCGAGCACAGTGTGTTCAATCAACTTTATTCACACTGAGGGTTCATGTTGATGACCTGCACTGAGCCTCCACACATGAAATCAAATGGCATCATGTGCACAAAGAGTGATTGTGCCTTCTGTGTTGAACCTACAGGATCAGGAAGGTGTGGCAGAAAAGAAAGTGCGGAGTCAAATTTGGCTGCCTGACAATTTCCCACAGTACGGTGAGGACACACGGCAAACATCTGTCACATGAATTCTGTCCAATTTCTTTTTCAACGCACACTAACATAAGTGTTTGTGTGTTTGAATGCCATCAGATCAATCGACCTCCTGCCAAGCTGAACCTACTGACCTGTCAGGTGCGGCCGAACCCAGAGGACAGGAGGACCTTTGACCTGGTCACTCGTAGGTTCATTCCTAAGTTTTGACCTTTACACTTTACCCTCGACATATTATCATTGCAGTCGTCTGTTGTGCAGCTGTGTGAAAGTATTTCTATTCGCTCCCCCACGATGGAAATTGAGAACAGAACACATTTTACTTGGGGTAGAAGCCAGAGATTCTTTATGGTGAAGGTACACAGTTGTGACGTGAAACAGTTGAGGCTTGTTTTATGTCAATTCTGGAAATGCAGACTTAGTTTCCACATTTTAAACCCCCACACTTTAATATTTCAAGATCAAGTGACTATATCTAATTCTCATTTCTCCTTCTCTGCAGATAATAGGACGTATCATTTCCAGGCAGAAGACGAGCAGGAGTGTTTAATGTAAGCATTGAAACTACTGTCGGCTGCATGTTTTATCATCAACTGCAGCTTAATCTATCTGACTTTCTGCCAGGATGATAAAAACTTTATGGATGAAAGTGCTACATACAACTATACAATGCAACAACAGAGCAGAACACCAAGTTAGAGATCTCACATGTTACCATGAGAAGTGTATTGTGCCAGGACAAATTAGATTAAGGTGGGTCCGCCACAGTCTAGATAATTAATGTTGCTGCTGTTTCATGGCAGGAAAAGGGCATTAACCTTGGCAGACATATGCACTCTCATGCCCCTTGTCCATTGTTTAAATAAACCAGCTAACACCTGCTAACATCTGGCTTCTGTTGGCAATGTGAATGCATACGATCAGCATTCACTCGCAGATCAAATGACTCTACAGTAGACACAGGTTTTTATCGGCTCTGGCTCCAATCAGCAGTGATGGAAACATGACACCTGGTTGAAAGCTGTGACCGTGAGGTCAAAGGGATTCGGTTGTCGAGACGTCGATCATGACGCACCGGAGGAAAAACAGAGAGGCAAACTCCTGTGCTGGCAATAGACCGAGGTTATCCGATAATTAAATCAGAGTTAATCAGCGGTATCAGAGTGCCCTTCTACTTCACTGAGTACGTTTGGTCATATCAAACACATTTATTTGAGCTTAGGTCAGTAATGGAAAGATGACTCCCCTTCAAAGAGAGGTGTACAAAGGTAGGAGGTAAATAGAAAGACAAAGGTTGTTTAGTGAGGTGGTGTAAAGCGGTCTGATCCTGAAGGAGGTGAAGGAACAAGCAGATTAAGGACAAAAAGGGAGAGAGACTAAAGAGACTAAAAAAGCTGCACTCCAGGAGACCCCAGCCCAGCTGCTGTGGGGTGGGACTTCTCTTCCAGCCACAGACAGCAAGCGAGTGAACTCAGTGTGTTATTTTGTGTTGTGGTGTTGGATGTGGTTGCGTGTGGGGGTTTTCTATCCCCTGCCCTGCCCTTGTGTGTGGGCCTCCTGGCAGATTCTTTTGATGTGATGTGCTGTGTGAGGGGGGAATGGAAGAGGTTTGGAGGGAAAAGTACCAAAGCTTCACATATGAAAGAATTGAGGCTCGGTTTGAGTCTGGGTTGTAAAGAACACTCGAAAGCCGAGAAAGCGAGAGTGATGGTGACAAAAAAACACACACGCAACATTGTGTAATGCTTTCAATCTTCAGGAGATGAGAGTGAAATCATCAGTTTTCTAGTTTCCCTTGATGCAGCAACATCTGTGAACACTGTTTTCTGTGTGTGTCTGTACTGAAGCTGGGTGTCAGTGCTGCAGAACAGTAAGGAGGAGGCCCTGAACACAGCGCTCGGAGGAGACCAGCTCCACCTCCAGGACAGCGGGCTGCAGGAACTGTCCCGAGCCATCATCGCTGAGCTGCGACACATGCCTGGCAATGAGGCCTGTGCTGACTGCGGAGCTCCAGGTCAGTCCACTCTCTGCTGTTGAAGATATTTGCAGAATTTAATGTGGAAATGTTTGTTCATAAGCTGCTTTCAGACATTCACTCAAGTCTAGACATTCTCTGAAATTTTCTAGTGGGGCTGTATGTGAGAAAGCAAATGTCCAAATCAGTTGCTCTTGGCATTCTCTGGAACTTTCCTGCATGTCCCAGTAAAATGTCTGATTGAGCCCATGTGAAAATACAGAAGGAAAATTCAAGGTGTGTTGATGACAGTTCCAACAAATAAAAAAATATAAATCCAAATATATCGCAGGATGAAGAAGACATGTCATACACGTAGAAGACAACGAGATTCAAGAGATTTTGCCGATAAGGACCGATGCAGGTGTCGATTAGCTGTAAATCGATTTACAAAGCAGAATTTATATATCATGTTCTCCCTTCTGCATGATGCAACTCTCTTCTGGAAGTACCGGACATTTTCCTGTTGTGAACACATTTCCCCCAGACAATGTGCTGCTGTGTTGCTCATATGTGACCAAATTTCAAGACAATTTCCGAACTCATGTCTGAAAATAACCAACAATTCCAGCTGTGTTTTTCAGAGAGTTCCTAACGGTCTGCTCTTTTGTGCATCTTAGATCCAACATGGCTGTCCACGAATCTGGGCATCCTGACCTGTATAGAGTGCTCCGGGATCCACAGAGAGCTGGGTGTCCACTACTCCAGGATCCAGTCTCTCACTCTGGACCTGCTGAGCACCTCGGAGCTCCTGGTACTAACTGCACACATGGAAACACACACACAACCCTGATGGATTCTCTGTCGTCAGGATTTCCTAATTACCCACATTATGTAACGATCTGCATGTCATTGAAATGTCTTTGTGGCTGCGTTATGCTTCTCTCCAGTTGGCCGTCAGTATTGGCAACACCAGATTCAATGACATCATGGAGGCGGGGCTTCCAAACGACTCTGTTAAACCGCTGCCACAGAGTGACATGTGAGTCCCTGATTTCATTTAAAACAAAAATCTTGATTCCTCACAAGGCATGTGCTGTTTTAAATTTTTCATGGATTTGTTTATTAAACAACCAGGAACGCCAGAAAGGAGTACATTGTGTCGAAATACGCCGAACGGCGGTACGTCCTGCGCAGAGAAGAAGCAGACCCCAGCCGGCTGCATGACGCCGTGAAGAGTCGTGACCTCACTTCTCTTCTTCAGCTATACGCCGAGGGAGCGGACCTGGCAAAGCCACTCACGCTGCCTGACGGACAGGTTAGGATCATTCACACTCCCACATTCCCACATTATTGAGCACGTGGCATTTCTTCCTAAAATGCATCCTAATCAGGGAGGGAGTGCGCATCATGAACTTAAATTGAAACTTTATCATTCTCACATATTTCGTGCATTTAGGGTGATTGAAAGCAACGTCCTGACGGGACGGCCCGCCCTGCTCGCTTAAAGCAACACACACACTTATGAGATGCTTTACAAAACTTGCCTGACGCTGAAGAAGTGTGACTAAAAATAGAAATCCCCACAGTGTTAAACAATGACGTGTGTAGGTGGTGTGTGGATAGTTACAGTATGTGAAGCATGTGTTAATTGTCCTCTTGTTTGCATGGTTCATGTGGGTGGGTAGTCTGAGGCCATTCCATTTCTTTTGGCCTCTAATTCAGTCTTTTCCTCCCTTTTCCTATTATCTTCTGCTGTGTCTCTCCAACCCCCTTGTTTTCTTCTTTAATTACATTTTACCCTCTTGTCACATACTTCCTGTTCGACGTAAGTGTGTTACACCCCCGTCATCTGTGTGTGTGAGTGTGTGTTTTTGTGTTCATGTTTGTTTATTTTGGTTGGTCCTCATTTATTGTTTCAGCTTTTAGGTCAAAGCTCATGTCCCAAGTGAGACAAGCTCATTGAATTACACATGCACTCCTGTCTTTCTTGTGAGCGTACTTTTTCACGTCACATTTTAAATACAGTCCACTAAATTTGTTTGATTGTTTAATAGAGATCCATGAATTATTCCATGGAAAAATGGTCTTAATGTTGAAAAATGCCCTATGTCGCAACGTTAAAGAAAGAGATAAATAATTCCTGGATTAGCACCAGAGTTAACTGAGTTGTTCTTTAACACCCATAATGATTCCTTTCTCCAAGTTATGTGGAAATCTGTTCAGTTGTTTTTGTGTGAACAAAATCAACAAACAAACGACAGGGGTGAAATAAATAGTAGTAGATTGTTGTTACAGCGTCAAACTGGGACATAAGTGTCTGCTGAGTATTCTGCTGAGTTACTCTGCCAGTATGTCGGTAGACCTGATCATCAGTAATGTGATGCAAATGACTGATAGTGCCCTTGATAAAAAAAAATGCAGTGCAGATGGAAAATCTCTTGAGGATCAACAACGTGATCTTATTTGTTTCTCTTCTTCTTCCTGTTGAAGGGGATCAAAGAGACGGCCCTTCATCTCGCTGTGCGTCTGGAGGAAAGAAGCTCTCTGTCGCTGGTGGATTTCCTTTGTCAGAACAGGTCAGACACTGATGAACATTCAAGTATGATTTGTTTTGTCCTTAGAATAAAGAGGATTACGTTTTATTAGACTCACTATAAAAAGCTGGTGATGTACTGCAGCATCTGTACTGAACTGTATGTTCATTTTGCAGCAACTGTCTGGAGAAGAGAACAGCAGAAGGAAACACGGCTCTGCATTACAGCGTCCTGCAACACAAGCCTGAGTCTCTCAAGTTACTGCTCAAAGCAAAGGCAGCTCTACACACAGGTACATTATACTGTCCATTTAAATCTTTCTTTTTGTTTTGAATAAAGAAGCCTGTGCACTCACAAACTGTTTCACTTCAGTAACTACAATCTTTTATACACATACAGTTTATTTAGATTAATGTATTTGGTTTTTGTATATAATGTACAAAAAATATATGTTATAATAAATACAATAGAAATGATAAAAATAAGGCTATATATATATTTATACTTATATACAAACTCATACACTTATATATCAGAAATCCAACATTTTTCATTGTTGTTTATAGAAAAAAGAGAGGAAGATAAACTAAGGAACTATTGTTTATATTTGATTTCCGGTTGATTATTTGTGTTAGTGTTGTCCTCTCTGTAATGACAATAAAAGAATCAATCAATTTATCAAATACTATAACAATTTCTTTTTTTAACATCTGTAGTGAATTCAGCGGGAGAGACGGCCCTCGATATCGCTCGGAGGCTGCAGCACCTACAATGTATCGACCTGGTGAGAACTTTTTTTCTTTTAATTGCAATTATAACACATATTTTCCAAGAACACACACAATCTAACAGAGAAATCAAGCTGCATGATTAAAATACCAACCACAAAGTCAACTCCAGAAACAAACCAAGACAACCTCAACAGCTCGAAACACAACCTCAAAATAACTCCCCGTGCAGCACAGCTCAGGACTCAGGTCTCACTCCCAGGACGAGGAATCTTATCCTCATCTGGTCCCACTGTGCATCATTCATAAACTGGTTTTATTTTCTTACCGGCCATCTGCCCTGCTGACTCAGACCTGCTTTGTGTAATATCCTGTTTGACTGTGCACATCCTTGTCTCGCAGGCCTTCTGTTAAAAAATCAAAAAAAGGTTATGCCAGGAAAGTGCCTCCATTTTGCTCATTGGCCGTGTTGAGTTCAAGATCTGGAGCCAGGAGATTTTTATTTGTTATTTCATTTAACCCTCTCAGCTCCTAGCTCCTCTATTAAGATGTTTCCATCAACTGATTTCCCTGAAATTGTATTTATGTCATTTATACTCTTACTTATTCTTTTATAATAATCTCAAAACCTCTGAGAGCCTGTACAGAAGTGTTAAAATATTTGTCCTCCTGTACGTTTCTACAGCCAAGAAAATGAAACTAAACCCGAAAAGAGAAGAAATATAAATTCTGTGGATTGAGGCAAACACACAGTACGCTGCATCTTTTCTGTTTTCCGGGATTCCTGCATCAGTATTCAGAGTGTTTGTGATTGTGTGTTTTAGTTGGAGCTGGCCCAGAGTGGGAAGTTCAACTCTCAGATCCATGTGGAGTTCATGTGGGAGACTCAGTCTCAGGAACTGTATGACAGTGAGGATGACCTGGATGAGAGGGTAAACAACACAAGCACATACACACAAACTCACACACACACACAAACACACACACACACACACACACACACACACACACAC